GCAGAAACAGCAGGACACCTATCTTCACTTGGGTCATGTGTAAACCCACATCTATAACACCTATTGAAACCAGTAGATTTCTGTACCTCTGGTTTCCTTTTTTCCTTACTGTCACTTACTTTAAAAATCTCATTTTTACACGAATGTTTGGAAACTTCTTCTCTCGCGCGTTCCATAGATTGAGCTAACTCTAGTACTACTGTTGACTTAACAAGCTCACCTCGGTTATTAACTCCCTCGGGCCATCTTTGTCTGACTTCGACTTCAAATTCTGGACAGTTGCTTCCTACTGCAAACCTATCCCATCCTCGTCGCCAATAAAGAATAATTAATTATTAAAACTCATTTTAAGTAAACTAAATCAATACTATTTATTTACAAGAACAAAACATAATGTAAACAAACCAAATAGCAGATGATTCATAACTTTATAACTCAGCTGATAATAATAATCCTACAGGCAGAGACTTTGATACCAAATCACTGAAGGTTTTTGGATGTGATGCATATATTCATGTGCCAAAACAAAAACGCAAGAAATTGGATCAAAAATCTAAAAAAGGTTTGTTTGTTGGATACTGTGAAACTACTAAAGGCTACCGTATATACATTACTGAAGAAAACAAGGTTGAAATCAGCTGCAATGTTATATTCCATGAGCCTGTTGGAAATACAATAAAGACTAAAACTGACGCTGTATCGTCCCTGAAGGAAACAGAAGTGATGAAGACAGATTAGCAACTTGATGTATTACACGAAGATGAAGTATACCAAAGTGAAAATGAATGTCAAGAAGACCTAGATCCTGTAGAAGACAATCCAGAGCTTGAAGAAAATGTAAATATAGAAGAAAATACAACTAATATGAAACTAAGAAACCGAAACCAACTAAAAAGACCTGTAAAATTAGACAACTATGAAGTTAATTTTATGACTTCCGTAGAAGTAGATGAACCTGATTCATATGAAAGTGCAATGAATCGTGAAGATGCAGATAAATGGAAAGAAGCAATCAATCAACCAGTACGATAAGACTTGTTGCTCGTGGATTTCAACAACAAGGATCTTTCGATACAACTGAAACCTATGCTCCAGTCGCTAAGATGACAACATTGTGAGTATTAATGGCTGTAGCTAATCAACAGAGTTTACCAGTACACCAAATGGATGTGACAGGTGCATTTTTACATGGTGACATGACAGAAGATGTATATTTATCTGTACCTCCTGGAGTTGAACATATTGAAAGTAAAACTACTGTTTTAAAACTAAACAAGACAATCTACGGTTTGAAGAAATCTCCCAAAAATTGGAATGAAAAGTTCACTGAAATAATGACAAAAGAAGGTTTCTCAAGGTCTAATAGTGACTACTGTCTGTACACAAGACTGACTGATGAAAATAAACTGTATGTATTACTGTATGTGGATGATCTAATTATAGTGGGTTCCTGTGAAAATGAGATTTTGACATTCAAATCAAAACTGAGTCATTATTTAAAAATGAAGGATATGGAATGACTTATTAAGAGCTATAGCAACTGTGTGGAGGTTAAATCTGTGGACCTTATTTAATTATAAGACTTGACTCTTCAAACAAACAATACTTTATTTTATAACTTTAAAACAGAACACATGTACAACTCATAAGCACATTTTTTTTTCTCCAACTAGGAGGACTTCCTAAGACGTCGAAACTTCCAAGTTTCGACTTACCCGGGAATAAAAGCAGAATTCTCGACCGAAGCAGAATATATTGCTCTTAGTTTGGCAATAACAGAATCCCAATGTCTCAAACATCTTCTAGAAGATCTAAATGTATCAACCAGTGGAGCTGTAACCATCCATGAAGATAATCAATCAGCAATAGCTGTTGCAGGAAGTCTAGAAATTGATGTCAAGTATAATTTTTACTTTCTCCCCCTATACCATAGTATATGGAGAAAGTATTGTTTTCGTAAAAATTTTCGAGTTTGAGTTTTGAGTGGATATATTCGTTTTGGGTCCCCCTGGACCCAAAAAAGTGGTTTTCGAAGTGATGTCTGTGTGTGTGTGTGTGTGTGTGTGTGTGTGTGTGTGTGTCTGTGTGTCTGGATGTGTACAGAGCTAGAGACTACACCTGTGGTCCGATTTCGATGAAATTTGGTATGTAGGTTCTAATCCATGGTATCTCCAGGCGTTTTTTTCCTTTTTTTGAAATTTTGATTTTTAATGGGGATTTTCCTATAAAAACCCATAAAAAACCGGAAAAATCGGATTTTCTCAAAAATGGCCCGAACGATTTTGATTAAAATTTAGTATGTTATAGCCCTTAAAATTCTGAACAAAATGGTACAAATCCCATTTCTGTAAAAATTACGGTTCAAAAGTTATGGTAAATTATGTTTTTTTTTTCCATAAAAACCCCATAAAATAACGAAAAATAGGATTTTAGACAAAAATCCAGTTTTTATTTAACATAGTAGGTTATGGTCCTTACAATTTTGATAGTTTTTTTCATTTTTTTAGAAATTTTGATTTTAGATGGGGATTTTCCCATAAAACCCCATAAAATAACGGAAAAATAGGATTTTCCCAAAAATGGCCCGAACGATTTTGATAAAAATTTAGTATGTTATAGTCCTTTATATTCTAAACAAAATGGTACAAATCCCTTTTCTGTAAAAATTACGGTTCAAAAGTTATTGTAAATTATGTTATTTCCCCATAAAAACCCCATAAAATAACGGAAAAATCGGATTTCCCAAAATTGGCTCGAACAATTTTGATAAAAATTTAGTATGTTATAGTCCTTTAAATTCTGAACAAAATTGTACAAATCCCATTTCCGTATATTTACTTTCACCGCTTTTATACATGATAAAGGTTGTTTACAAACTTATGGGAGAAAGTATGTGTCAGATTGCTGATACCGTTTATTTAAGGGAAGTTATCAAAAAGGGAAGTGTTGTTTTAAAGTACATTAACTCTGAAAACCAATTGGCGGATATATTAACAAAAGCTCTGTGTAAACCAAAGTTCCAGACATCCAGAGATAAAATGAATGTTATTTAAAACTGTTTGTAAGAAGACAATACATTTTTATATTGAGGGAGGGTGTTGAAGCAATATAAAAATATATCAAAATATACCCTAACTCAATTATTTATTATTCTATGTGTAACTAAAGACTGTTTCATGTTTATAAAATTTGTTGTTATGTTGGCATAGCAACCTCCTAGTTGGAGAAAAACAAATGTGCTTATGAGTTGTACAAGTTTATATGTGTTCTGTTTTAAAGTTACAAAATAAAGTATTGTTTGTTTGAAGAGTCAAGTCTTATAATTAAATAAGGTCCACAGATTTAATCTCAACACAGTTGCTATAGCTCTTAATAAGTCATTCCATAGGTTTGAATAGGTAAAAATTATCTTGTATTCGAGAGAAATTAGTCATTTAGATCAGCGCAATCAGTTGGTGGCCCACATCAACTACGAAGAATTTAATTAAAAACTGGTGACAACTTTAACATAGGGATGGAATGTCTAGTTGTAAGTCAAAGGTACAGGCATAAACTAAGCAACACAAGGGAGTATGTTTTATCTATGATACAGGCTTCTCTATTTTCACCTCACACTGTAAATAAAACATGTGATTGTTATTTCGTCACCAGCATGGCAACCCATAAAGCCCATGTTATTTTTTTTATATCTTTCTAACAGTATGCGTAGATTTCCCCTGCGATGCACACGAGCTGAGAAAAAAGGTTTTAAAGAAACATGCTAGCCTGTTAATATTGTTTTGATTTTCTGTTTATATTTTGTTGTTATTTCGTCACCAGCATGGCAACCCATAAAGCCCATGTTAATTTTTTTTTATTTCAATTTATTTTTTTGTGCTTATATTTGAGCCTATTTTAATTTTTAAAGAGATTGTACACATCTACAGGAAAATATCTTTCTACAGTATGCGTAGATTTTCCCTGTGATGCACACGAGCTGAGAAAAAAGGTTTTAAAGATACATGCTAGCCTATTAATATATAGATACTAGTGAACTTGTTGCTCGAACTCGAGCAATTGCAAAGTATTACAGGCGTTATTTCAAAACGTATAACAGTTATTATTTCCGATGAATTAAAATAGTCAACTCAAAGAAAATTTAACCAATCACTCACTCCACTCCCAGTTATCGAAACTGAAAACAAACTCACTTTGAAAATGAACCCTGTTGGGTGTATCATGTGTTTACTAAGAACAGCTGTAATTAATACAAATTTTTTAATCTGTTTAATAAACAAAATCTTTTCTTCATAAGAAATACATTGGGATTTTGATGGCCTTTGGGGCAAAGCCCGAGGACGTTTATTACAGGAATTGGTGAAAGGGGGCGTCTACACAAAAAATACTTAATTTTGACACATCCTTTGTAAACATCCGTCCATTATTAACGGAGGAGTAGTGTTTTGTGGAAATCGCCTTCACTGATTTCAATTTAAAATATATTAAAAATTAAATTAAAATATACTGATTTAAAATATATCACGTATTATTTATAGGGATATATGGATGTTAGACACTAGTAAAAATAAAAATATACTATTAAGAGCTAATAAACTTAACTCTTAGTAACCACAGGGTGTTTAAGTGAGTTTACTTTTATTCCTTTTCACCCTGAGATCGGTTTGACCATATAAAAGTTCTTTAAAAAATAAAGGTTATTGGTAGATAAGCCAAAATCCCATTTAGATGTTAAATATTTTTTTGAAAAAATATCTTTTTGTTTATATATGTTTAAATGAAATTTAAACTAAATTTCATAACATATATTCACATTTTAACTAACAGTTGTAGTTTTACAAATATGGAACTTAAATCAAAATATATAGGTAATAATATATGACACTTATACCTTGACAAATAATAATATTTCTTAACAATCAAACAACAGTACCATTAACATTGATTTTTTTAAATAGCTGTTTCAAAAGCAAAATGATTGGTGAATATCTGGTGGTCAACAGGTTAAGGTGGTGACATTTATTGATGATCTTTTGGTCGAACGGCATGATGCTAAACTGTCTCAGTTAGAAGCAATTACTGAAGATGAGCCTCCTGAAGAAAAGACGCAAGCCAAAGAACGTCTTAGACAATACCAGTTGGTTAATCTAGAAACTCTTCTCAAAGAACAGCAATGGTGAGTATTTCTGTGAAATTATAATTTACAATTTATTCCTTCAAGGAAATAGCATGACTTCTACTTCTTAGTTCAAAATTTAGCACTTCAGTGTCAGACAACACAGTAGCATCCCCCAGACCTGGGTGGTAGAGAAGGTCACCAAGGTTGATGGTGTCTCTCACACCAGGAGTTGGTCCTATGTTACACTAGTTATGTTTGTAGGTGCCAGCATCTAGTAAAGCTGTTCAAGAGAGAGTTGCAAGGCAAGAGCACTTGCACTGTCAGACAACACAGTAGCATCCCCCAGACCTGGGTGGTAGAGAAGGTCACCAAGGTTGATGGTGTCTCTCACACCAGGAGTTGGTCCTATGTTACACTAGTTATGTTTGTAGGTGCCAGCATCTAGTGAAGCTGTTCAAGAGAGAGTTGCAAGGCAAGAGCACTTCACTGTCAGACAACACAGTAGCAGCCCCAGACCTGGACGTGGTAGAGAAGGTCACCAAGGTTGATGGTGTCTCTCACACCAGGAGTTGGTCCTATGTTACACTAGTTATGTTTGTAGGTGCCAGCATCTAGTGAAGCTGTTCAAGAGAGAGTTGCAAGGCAAGAGCACTTCACTGTCAGACAACACAGTAGCAGCCCCAGACCTGGACAAGGTAGAGAAGGTCACCAAGGTTGATGGTGTCTCTCACACCAGGAGTTGGTCCTATGTTACACTAGTTATGTTTGTAGGTGCCAACATCTAGTGAAGCTGTTCAAGAGAGAGTTGCAAGGCAAGAGCACTTCACTGTCAGACAACACAGTAGCAGCCCCAGACCTGGACGTGGTAGAGAAGGTCACCAAGGTTGATGGTGTCTCTCACACCAGGAGTTGGTCCTATGTTACACTAGTTATGTTTGTAGGTGCCAACATCTAGTGAAGCTGTTCAAGAGAGAGTTGCAAGGCAAGAGCACTTCACTGTCAGACAACACAGTAGCAGCCCCAGACCTGGACGTGGTAGAGAAGGTCACCAAGGCGATGGTGTCTCTCACACCAGTTTGTCATCAGGAGTTCCTAAGGGATCCACTTACTCGCAAGCTCATCCTCGGCCTCATAGAGTGGCTCAAGCGGCTCAGTCTACAAGACGAGGACTCTTCAGATGAATACTATGACAGACTGGCTGATCAAGTCAAACTGCTGGGGGCTCGGCTACAAATATTCAACACAACACACACATTACCAGAGCTGCTCTAACTTCTTCCAGTGCCCAAATATCATTAAACTTGACTTAGTAAAGTTTCATATATCAAATTTATTGTGTTACGTTTTGATTTTAATAAGACATACACTTACTGTACACTTAAGACTTTTACCTACGGCCGTTTTTTAAAGTAGCCATTTCAGTTCAGTTCTTAGAATTGAAAAGTATCGCTTAACAGCTGTTTACTTTCATAACAGCATAGTTTTATTTCATAACAGCATAGTTTTTCTCATAACAACACGGGTAATGGACCACGGAGTAAAGGATTGAGAGAAAATAAGTAAAATTGTAATGTTTCGAACGTCAACTAATCAGCTGATCAGCTGATCAGTTGACAATTTTAATTATTGATCCCACTTGTTCCTGTTGATGCTCTCGTATTCTTAACCTAAGTTGGTGGAAGTGAGAGGAAGGTAGATTACTCTGATTTAAAAATGTCTGTCATGAAATTGAAGTTGACGAGATAGAAAAGAGAGCAAAAACTTTTTGTGCTAACCTTTTGCCACCAAAATCGAAACAAAGGTATGAAATTACATACCCAATTCATTAAATGGACGAAACAAAATAAGGTTAAATTGATAAATGAAAATGTGCTTCTGGTTTATGTTTGAAAACCTCTTAACAACTTTTCCCCCCAACTCGTTGTGGACCACATATTCGATGCAGAGATCTAACGGTAAATTAACGGTTTCATTATATTATTCAGTTGCCCCAAAAAATATGCAATATTTCTCTAATTTTGTCTGATATTCATGGTAAGAATGCTGCTAGCAGAATCTATTCCCTGAAAAAGTAACATATTATTTAACAAAGTTTTACAAACACGTAATTACATGAAATCAGCTGATTATACAATAAGTCGTTGCATCAATTTCAGTGGCAATGACAATAAACGAAAACATAACCTCTCTAAGAAGTTATGAGTATTGATTATTAGTTAATAACAAACAGATTGTTGGAAATTAAAATGGTCGTAGGTAAAGTAGTGTACGCAACTCGCGTTTCGCGTTAATAGTCTTTACGACACTCGTAGAAGTAAGGCACGAGCCTTGGCTTTTTCTACTCGTGTCGTAAAGACTAACATAACGCAATCGTTGCGTAAACTACTATAAAGTCCTGCACTCTAGTCTAAGTAATGACACAGTATGAAACAGTGTTGGAGAAAAGCGGTGTAAGTTCTAAAGGAAAACTGCTGGGGACTGTGATATGACAATAATATCAAAGCACTATATTGCACTCACTTAAGTGCCTTTCTACCCTTTTTAAAACGTTTTTATTAGCTCGCTTTCCAATCAGATTTATACTAACTTTCCGATGAGCTAGAGACTTGAAACATGAAACATGAAACATAGCTCACAGATGGATGACGATGCAATATTATAATTTTCATATTTCCCTTAGGCTACGCCCCATGGGCTTGTTTTTATTAGCTCACTTTCTTGTCCGGTACAAATTTTGATATAGATTTTAAACTAACTTCCTGATGAGCAATATAAAATAAGCATTTCAAAGTAAAGATAAACATCTTATTACAGATAATAAGGCTTTGGTTATGTATTAACAGGCCATATAAAATAGATTTAACATATTTTTTACACATAAAGACTAAAAAGTAGAAAATAATTTATAAATCAAAATATTTTTTAAAAATGTCACGTTTTTAAACGCACTAAAATGTAGAAAATAACGTATAAATATGTTGAGAGAATAAATACTTGTAAGATTTAAAACAAAAAACGTGGGACGCATGCAATAGATCATAATAGTTCAATAGGTGAAGATAATTGTAAATTAGCATGCACCCCACGTTTTTCGTTTAAAAAGTATTTTTACTTATAAATTTTTAAGTCACAAATAGAATCTTAGACACTTGTGTTTTTGCACGGTGTTTATTTGGCGCAGCAAACTATTCAGTAGACATCAGTAAACTGTTAGCCTGTTAAATGCAAATCCATTCAGTTAGAGAGGAAATGCAATGTATGTATTTATCCTAAAAACTATTTTTTATTTATTTCATCAGTTTATATTGTTAGCTTTCTGTTAAATAATGAAAAGGGGATGAGGTTAAAGTAGTTTACACAATGATCATGTAATGGCTGATTACACGAGTTGCGTACACTACTTTACCTATGACCGTTTTTTTTTAAATTACGTTTGTAAAATTTCATTACCTACTTATAGGCCTACCTGTTGTTTTTTTTTTCAGAAAATAGGAACTGTCAGCAGCATTCTTACCATAAGTACTGTTTCAGGTACAAGTAGACAAATATTGCATATTTTTTATCAATACATACTCAGGTATTAAAACATTTATAACATTTCAATCCAAAAAAACCAAATCAAATTATGTCTTAAATTATTATTATTATATTATGTGAAGGATAATCAATAAAAGATTTTGAGGAAGTTGGCAGATCATTAATTGAATTGGTTTCAAACACCAGCTAACAAGTTGGTGTTTGAAACAATAAAATTTTACTTATTTTATTTTGTCTTAATCCTTGAACCCAGTACAGTACATATTCTCTTAACCACACTAGTGCTGTAAGAAGAAGTAAACAATGCAGTGAAGTGAATTTTTTTGATAAAAAAAATTGAATTGGCTAGTTTACGAAACGTTGGTAGGTTAGGTATTTAAAATTTTAATGCTTCAAATGCATCTTATAAGCTGGTAAGGACCAATTCAATTGTTGATCTGCCGACTTCCGCCAGAAACTCAAGCATCCTTTCCTAAAGTAAAATTAACCTAAAAATGTGTGCAAAAGATTTTAAGATAATCCTTCACTTAGAATAGTAATAATTTAAGTACTTCAATTTTGCTATTTTGATTTAAATGTTGTAAATAAACTATTTCAATAGATTCAGTATTGTTAAAAAAATATGTAATATTTTTGTCTAATTGTGTCTGAAACTTGCTTATGGTAAGAATGCTGCTATCAGTGGTGACCTATTCCCCTGGAAAAGTTACAGAAACAGTAAATGATTATTAAGTTTTATTTTAATTAAACATAATTAAAAATCTGTCGTTGGTTATGTGGTGTAAGAAACTTGTGTAGCCTTTAAGTACAAGTTTTTGAAGACTTGTGTCTTACGCATAATCATTGCTACGATTTACAGGTTATAACTAAGCCTGTAAAAATTACTAGTCAATGACTAAAATATTATTGAGATAGAGTCTAATTTTCAATTATTTTGTTAAATGTAGCTAATTTGTAATTAAATTTGCAAATAATTGTTAATGTGTAACACATACACTCATTTATTAAACCAAACACAAAGATTACATTCATCATCATATTATCTCTAAGCAAAGTGGTCAAAACTGTAATAGTTTTTAATAGAAAGTTCCTCCAATACTGGTAAAAAAATGTTTTGGTATTGTGTTACTACACAAATTGGAAAATTAGAGGCAGTAATGTATGTATGGTTTGTTTAAAAATTGTTTAACCAATAATGTTATATTTTATTTCAGTGGCGGATATAGAGTATTTTTTTGAAAGGGGCCAAGATTAATTTAAGGTTAGGTTAAGTAATTTCAAGTAGACACGCCATGACTTTATCTCAGTTTTGCTGCGGTTTGCGCTAAATGTAACCTTTACTTTACCAAGATCACGCTGTATCATTAAGAGGCGGCGGGAGCCAGCTCGCCCGAGCTCAGCGCTGCCTGCTAGTTTAACATGGAGCGGCGACACATTTTACTTATTTCAGGAAATATATACACATTTACTAATAAAAATGAACACTAGTAATCTTTGTCACTACATATCCTACAATATAAAGTATAATAAACCATTATAAAGTTGTTTTTTAATTTTAAAACGTTTTTATTAGGTCGCTTTCTTGTCCGCTACAAATTTTGCAACCGATTTTATACTAACTTCCCGATGAGCTAGGGACTTGAAACTTGGAACATATCTCACAAATGGAAGACAATGCAATATTATACAATTTAATTTTCATATTTCCCTTGGGCTACGCCCCATGGGCTTGTTTTTATTAAATCGATTTCTTGCAAATTTTGATACTTCCCAATGAGCTTGAGACTTGAAATTTGAAACATAGCTCACAAATGGATGACATTGCAATATTATATCATCATTTAATTTTCATATTTCCTTTCGGGCTACGCCCCATGGGCTTGTTTTTATTAGCTCGCTTTCCTACAAATTTTTATATCAATTTTAAACAATGTAACCGATAAGCTAGAGACTTGAAATTTGAAACATAGCTCACAAATGCATGACAATGCGATATTATATCATTTAATTTTCATATTTCCCTTGGGCTACGCCCCATGGGCTTCCAAATTTTTCATGTTTACATTTTGAAAGGATGTAAATATATCAACTAATTTAAGTCAGCTGTAAATACTTAAATTTGACAGTTCAAAAAGCAGAGAGGTACAGGTTCTGCTCCCAAGAGATTCTTTATACAAACAAACATTTCAAAATAAAGATAAACAATCTGATTGCAGATATAAAGGAGTTTGTTAATAATGTAATTTGTTATTTATTTAGTATTCTATAAAGTAAACAATAAATCAAATAGATTGATATATTTATAGTTAGTAGGTAGGCCATACATGCAATCTAATACATAATTATATGCAAAGAAACTCAAATAAACCTTATATTTCCCACATGCCTCTGTCTTAATCTGATATAGACGCTTGAAATAGATTTAACATGCACACACATTAAAACTAAAAAGTATAAAATAATTTATAAATAAAAAACTTTTTTAAACCAAACGTTTTTAAATGCCCTAAAAAGTAGAAAATAATTTACAAATAATTTATAAATATGTTAAGAGAGTATTAATACTTGTACGATTTAAAACGAAAAACGTGGGGTGCATGCAATAGATAGTTTACAATTACCTTCACCTACTGAACTAATGTATTATTATCAATTAATTGCATGCACCCAACGTTTTTCGTTTTAAATCGTTTAAGTATTTATACTCTCTCAACATATTTATAAATTATTTGTAAATTATTTTCTACTTTTTAGGGCATTTAAAAACCTTTTGTTTAAAAAAGTTTTTTATTTATAAATTATTTTATATACATGAAATACGTAATTTGATTTCCCATAAGGATTTTGGTAAATTAGCTCAACTGTAACTAACATATATTTTAATATTCGTAATTTAAATTGGTACCATCACAAACTAGAATATTTCAGTTTTTGTTTGAGTGTACCACATCTAAAAAATAAAATCTCTGAGTAATTAACTTGATCGTTTTAAAAAACCTTTGTCATCAAGGGTCTCGTAGCACACGGACAAGTGACTGAGGTAGTTCAGCGGTCCTACGCTAGGGTGCACTAGCGTCGCACAGTCTTGGGAATCAAAACACGCCAAGCATGCAGATATTCCAATCGCTTTTGTCTCTAGGTCTATAGGGCAAAACTAATTGAACTATAATTAAAAATAATTATACTTTTTACCTCCATATCTTAGTCAATACTATGTGAGAAGAGTTTAATTTTATTATTGCGTTTTATATAATGCAAAAAAAAACCTTTTTTTATATTTCTGCAACCGTGACCCATCTTCAGCTCCACCAAATGAAAACTTGGTTCCCAATCTAATATCAGTAGGGTTGTACACGCAGGTAACAGACATTTTTAGATACTTGAGCCGTCACAGTGCCAGCCTGATAGCAGACGTCAACAGTAATTACGTGGAACACTACAATTCCATTGATAGCGCCGTGATTGTTGAGCGGAGCAAGCGAAGCTCTTATACGTCGACTCTTATGCATTTCGTTATACGCAAACTCCTCCTAGACGGCTGAATCGATTGTTTTAAAATTTTGCATGGTGATAAAGACCATATCGGTGAGTGCCAACATCTATATGGCGTTAAAAAAGTCTCTCAGGAATCCGCCCCACTGGGTCTCAAAATTTCAATGTAATCCTTATGGAAGCAGTATTTGACACATAAACAAAGACATATAATAATTTAAGAATTACTGTGATAAAAGGATTTTCCACTGATTTCGTAATGGACGTTATATTGCAAAACATGAGATGATCAAGAAGAAAATCAATTTTAAAATCAGAAAATAATATTGCAAATACTTATTTGGTAGAATTCAGTACTCCCAATACTCCAAATAAATGTGTGTTGTTTGAAATAAAATTTAAAAATGGACAGCTGTTTCATTAAAAAGTATTAGTAACATGGCCAAAATGTAAACAACTCTGTGGAGGGATCTTTAAAGGCTTCTGGGGCAGAGTCCTAAGGGATTTTGATTAGTTTTTCTTTTGATAACTCATCTACCGACCAATACCTTTTTTTGGACACATCTTCCAAGTTTCTACGCCCAGCCGTTCTCTCAAATTAGTGGGGACAAAGTTTCCAATTAAATATTTAGATTCCCCCATGTTAATCTTATGGGAGAAACTCCAACTTTGATGGCCTGTGGGGCAAAGCTCGAGGATGCTTATTACAGGAATAGGTGAAAGGGGGCGTCTACACAAAAAATACTTTATTTTGACACGTCGTTTGTAAAAATCCGTCCATTATTAACGGAGGAGTAGTGTTTTGTAGAAATCGCCTTCACGTATTATTATATAAGGATGTACATACAGGGTGAGTTTTAATTGTCCCCCCCCCCCAACTTTTTTCTACATTTTTTCAAATATCAATCCCAGACCACTTCCAAACATTGTTGGGTAGTAAGTACTTCATTTTGACAAGGTGGTCATTTCCGGCCGCCATCTTGGATCCGCCATATTGGATGCAAATTTTTTTCAAATGTAAAAGTGGAGTTGTGACCCATTATTTCGAACTAGATTTTTACCCTGATTACAATGCCGCAAAATGTTTTTAAAATCTTGATTCATTCTAAAGTTATGAGGGCTTTTTAAACCTTTATTTTTAGCCCATTTTAACATTGTGCATTTACAAACTAAGACCATAATCTCAAAATAGTGCTAGATAAAGATAAGTATACACTACCAGTAATTGTCGACCTATTTTCACTTGGTTATGACTGATGTATTTTTTTCGGCCGCCATCTTGCCATCTTGGATCCGCCATTTTGAAATGTGATAAATTATTTTAAATATGAAGGGGGTGTTGTGACCCATCATTTCGAACTACTTTTTTAAGCTAAACTCAATGCCTCAATCCATTTTTTGTTATCAAGTTTTATTTGTGAAATATTGCAATTTTTTTGTAAAAAATGTCAATATTTAAAAATCAAAAAATGAAAATGAAAAACGGATCATGGAATTAAGTTCAGCTTAAAAAAGTAGTTAGAAATGATGGGTCACAACACACCCCTTTCATATTTAAAATAATTTATCACATTTCAAATTGGCGGATCCAAGATGGCGGCCGAAAAAATACATCAGTCATAACCAAGTGAAAATAGGTCGACAATTACTGGTAGTGTATACTTTATCTAGCACTATTTTGAGATTATGGTCTTAGTTTGTAAATGCACAATGTTAAAATGGGCTAAAAATAAAGTTTTAAAAAGCCCTCATAACTTTAGAATGAATCAAGATTTTTTTAAAAAGTTTGCGGCATTGTAATCAGGGTAAAAATCTAGTTCGAAATAATGGGTCACAACCCCACCTTTACTTTTGAAAAAAAATGTTGCATCCAATATGGCGGATCCAAGATGGCGGCCGGAAATGACCATCTTGTCAAAATGAAGTACTTACTACCCAACAATGTTTGGAAGTGGTCTGGGATTGATATTTGAAAAAATGTAGAAAAAAGTTGGGGGGGGGGACAATTAAAACTCACCCTGTATAAACATTACATTAAGTGTGGGTTTTCAACTTTTAAAAAATTATGTTTTAAATAACTGTAAAATATCAAACTGGTTTTACTCAACTGGCTCATATATGTTTGATTCATTATTGTAATGTTTCCAAATGATAAAATTGAATTTGAAACTAAAATCACCTTTCCTAATTATAAATGGATTAATATAACCCAACGACGTTTTATTATATATTCCTACAATGCACATTATTATATAATATTTTAGAATTAAGTTCTATTGGTGTTTTTATTATTATTGATGGTATAGTTTCAAATCAAAGATAACTGTGCAGGTAGCTGGCCAATTTTAAATATAACACATAAATTTGTGATGTATTGCACCTAAAACAGAGAGCCTTCGGGCAATAGTTGCGTACATCATGTAATTCTTGTTTGGAAATGGCAGGCAATAGTGCAAGCTAACTTATTTCAGGGTGATTCGCAATGCATTTTTTAGG